AAAATTACAACTCTCGAGAAAATAACACAGAAATTGTTTATCAACTCCTGCTTTGTGGGACTTTGCCTGTGCCGTGAGTGCTTTGGCTTGTGGACCACCGATTCACAGATCGTGAGGGTGTTTAAGGATCTTTCCTTCGTTTATCGAAGTAAAGATTTGAAAGTGAATATCTTATCGATGTAAGATGTTCACTCTTCCAAAGATCAAGTCTGAGCTTAGATCTCTAGGAATCACCAAATGATGCTTGTCAAAGGGTAAAAGTTTTCTCTTTCTTCCTCAAAATCACCAAAAGCTCAAGTCTCTATACCCTAATCTGCCCTCTGTCCTTTATTTCGTGTCTAGGGAGGTATTTATAGGGGTAGCAGTGCATAACAGTGGAAATGGGGGCGAGATAACTGACCAACTAAATGCTCTTTGGCCGCGTCAGTCAAGACTGCCGCGGCTATTGGCGTGGCAGTGTGGGCTATTCCATCGTGCTTGAAACTGTCCTCCCACGACTTTTAACCACCTTTTTCGTGGTTTAACTGCTTGTCCACGTCAGCACACGTTCTATTTCTGATATGCTGCCACGTGGGCTTCAAAAAATCATCATACAACTGTCTTGTAACCGCCGTAGCACCCCTTGTAATAGCCGCTGCACCCTAGGCTGCCGCGTCTTAGCCGCGGCACCATATGCTACCGCGCCATAGCCGCGGCACTATGAGCTGCCGCGCCTTAGCCGCGGCACCAAGTGCTGTCGCGCCTCAGCCGCGCCGCCATGTACTGCCTGTTGGTGTGTACATTATTCTTTCACGTTGTCTCACTTCCTTTGAATGATTCCCTTTGATTAAGAGAATGGCGTTTATCGTCTTCTCTTTACCTTGAGTGGTATTTGGATGTCTGTAAGTATTTTTTGACGCCTACAGATACCCCCTCCAAAGTATCTCAGACTCATCATTTTGGAGAGGAGTCTAGGACACTTTGGATATGATAAGTTATCCTTGCAATTTCTTCAGTACTTTGTTGAGGAAGTTACGTAACATGGTCTATAAATGGCTTCAATTCTTGACTTCTTTATCTTTTAGCCTATTCAGTGCTTTATAGAATAGCTAAAATTCCTCCGGTGCTGTGTTTATCGCGTGGCCGTTGTCGAAGTCTTGAATTTGAACTGCCGTCGAAGAATGGAGAAATAGTTTATACTCATATGCTCTATTGGAGTGTTCGGGAAATAGTTTAACCTCATATACCCGTTGGGAGGTAGCCAGGTTATTCTTAAGAATATTCTAAGTGATATTCTCCAGAAACTTCCTGTTGGGGGTAAGGAAATAGTTTAAACTCGTGTACCTGTTGGAGTATTCAGGTTATTCTTAAGAATATTCTGAGTGATATTTTCCAGAAACTTCCTGTTGGGATTAGGGAAATAGTTTAGACTCGTATACCTATTGGAGTATTCTGGTCTCTTTTTTGTTGGTAGAGGTGAACCCGATGATGGAGAGGAAGAATTTTATATTCTATCTCCTGGTCTCTTTTTTGTTGGTAGAGATAAATCCAAAAATCAGAGAGGAAGAATTTTATATTCTATCTCCTAGTCTCTTTTTTGTTGGTAGAGATAAACCCAAAAATCGGAGAGGAAGAATTTTATATTCTATCTCCTGGTGCAAAAGAAACTCAAAGTGGGATCTTCACTTAGAGAATCTGGACTGGTTTGAATAATCCTGACTCCTGGTGCAAAAGAAACTCAAAGTGGGATCTTCACTTAGAGAATCTGGACTGGTTTGAATAATCCTGACTATCATAAGGTTTGATTATTCAATTCAAAAGCGGACCTCTCGTTCGTTGAAGGAATCGAGAGGGGATTTTGG